AAGGCCCAGTGGAAAAATTTGAATCCACAGGCACAATAAGACATTCACATACATCCGTCTCAAGCACTGATCATCTCTGTGAACTGAAGCCGCTTGATCACCGGAATCGTCTTTTGTTCGTGAAATAAGCAACAACTTGAAAATGATCCAGACTTTCATCGGAAAATCATCTTCAGCGATGATGCTAATTTCTGGCTCAATGGTTTTGTCGAAAATCAAAATATGCGTTATTGGTCAGGCAACATGACCGGCACGTTACTGTGAATGGGAATCGCTGCCGCTAATGATAACCGAATATTTTTGACCCGAATTAGATGATATGGACTCCGTTATTTATCAGGAAGTATAAAATTCATGATTTAACCCTTCCCTCATTGGGGGATCTTTGCTTCAACTTGGATGAAAAGCTGAACTATTTGGCCCTCATCCTTTATAGAAAGTTATGGAAGACCAATGTTGAGAATAGGGTGTGGTTATATTGCTTTAAAGGAGCTATTGGGAAGCGGTGGGGAGTCCCCAAGAGTTGTGCTTCAGCTTTTTGAATTCATAATTAAACCAATACAGTCCAGTAGTACATATTTATGTCTTATGAAGTGAACTCAGTAAATATCCAGACATTATCTCCTTCACTGTTCAGCTTTCATCAGATTTAGGTTAAAGCATCTTGGTTGTCATACTTTCTATGAACCCGACATACCTAAGAGTTCCGGGTATCATAACGGACAAGCGTCTCTAGTAGTGCCAGTGCGTCTCACGAATTTCAGTTTATTTAGCTAACCTAACTTAAGCCCATTACTTGTATATTAACGCAATTTTGCATAAGGTTCGAACAATTTTTGTTGGCTTTTTCGTGGAGGGTATATAAAGAGTTTGAATTTCCAAAAAAAAAAATTAATTTTGGTGTTTTCAAAGTCGGTGACCAACATTACACGAAGAATTCTGAACTGATTAGTATAAAATTTTAACAGAAACTGCTTAACAATATTATCGATCAATTTTTGGATTTGATATTGCTTTAACTAAATCTGTTTGAAATTAAATTTCAGAGAATCCAGTTCAGAAATAGAGTGGTCAACGCAAAACGTATTTTTTAAGGGGAGCCTTCGGAGATCAGCTGTAGTTCCTTTCCAAATAAATATTTTGACTAATACTAAGTATTAAAATAGAGTTAATATATACCTAATATGTGTACAAACTTATGCATCAATAATTTTAAAAGTTTTCTCAGAAGCTTCCAACTATACACTTGTATAATTCCAGCAGTCAAGTTCAAGTGCTTTTTGCAAAGCCGGGATTATATACCAATTTCACACTGTTGATGCGCATGTGTGACATGAAAATCAAATCAAACTAAGTCATCTGTGTCAAAAACCAAAAATCATTTTAAAAGATATAAGAGAGGGGTCACGAATTTGAAGAGAGAGACCAAAAAAAGTCAAATAAAAATAAATTATTTATTATTCAGATGGTTGTCACATATTTAGCATAGACCAAACTTGTATTATTTGAGTAGCAGATTTTTCCCCGCTTTGGTTTTTGTTATTATTGCTGAGAATGCATAGTGAAAGCCAGTAGAAGTTGCCACGGTGATCTAGAAAATAGGCAAATAACATGAACTCATACATATGCAAATAAAAGGCTTTTAGGGCTCGCACCTCTGCGCTACTGATAAGTACACAGTGCACTCATACACACACGCATGTTTATGAATGTTTTTAAATATGAACGCAAGAATAATGAAAATAGCTCAGTAATAACTTTCACAGGTGTGCATGTTCATGCGTGTTAAGCATTTTACAACAGAAACCAACACACACACACGCTCAAACATGTCAGTGGAAGCTGTCAGCCGGGCGCGCACAAAAAGTTCATAAATCACCCAGAGGCCAGTACGAAAAAATTAAGCGCCAGACACAAAAAATTCATACACGAGCATTTCACGACTTTGCGACTGCTGCAAAAAAGTATGGCAGCGCTGCGCGGGCAGCGCGAGTGCGACGAGTTTATTCATTCATTATACATTATGCATCGAATTCTTGCACGTCTGTAACTGCCAATGAGCCCATGTGTGTGTGTGTGAGTGTGTGTAGCGAACTTTACGTTTGACAATTTCATTGCAAATGCAAATTTAAGTCCTCACTAATTTAAATACATCCATATGACAGAAAAAATGCCTTTTTAATAACTCAATGTCAACGTGTTTCCATTTAAAAATTACGGTGGCGCCACATTCGGTGGCACTGCAAAGAGTGACCACTCATGGGTGAAATGGGAATGAGGTTCCATTAAGGGGCAGAGAAAAGTGAAGCAATGTACTTAAAAATATATAAAAATGTATATATAGCACCAGAATATTCAGTAACATAGGCCAAAAGGGAATGTTGCTTTGGCTCTGCATGACATGCCGAAAGTGACTCAAATAATTGACAGTTATATCACAGAAAATGTTATCACTTAATTTACCATATTCCAGAGTCATTCGTGGTAGTTAGAAAATTCATGAAAAAAATATTCACATAATACCTGAAGGCCCTATTAGAAAGCTTTATAGTATAAAAGTCGTCATATGAATTTGGTGCCAGTTATCTCAAGACCCGTATACTTTGGCCCAAAAAAAAATTGAAACTGATAATCGCCTCACATTGATAAGTTTTTAACTGATTAAATTCGCTGAAGGCGAGTTCGCACTCACCTATTTAAAGCCAACAGTATATCCACTAAAAATTTAGATAACGAAAGTGGGTAAACTAAACAAATGATTACAGAACTGTGAAAATTTAATGTTGTCTTCAGAATACATTTTAAGTATATATTGTATAATCCTGCGAATCCATATGCTATTTGTAATATGAAATACCTTTTACCCAGAAAATTGTAGTCATGACGCCTATTTTCAGTAATCTGAACAACCTGATCTTTCATTGTAATTTTTGTGGACAATCATGCAAGGTTTGGTATCTAATGGGTTATTGGGTGAACCCTAATTGGTTAACAGTATTTTGTGTCGAATACATTTCCCTATTCCATTCAAGATTATAGCTGCGGCAAATATTTTTATAAGGCAGGTCCACTTTAGAAAGGCTAGTGACACATGGTTGCTGCCTTTTTCTGATCCTAAATAGTAGGTCCTTGATTTTATTTCTATGATTTTAGGTTATATTTATTTTGTTACCTTGCAGCTTTTTATTAAGTTCCAACTGCTCTGAGCTATTTGTTCGAAAAAAGTAAGAAATTCTCTTCTGATTGTTTCCTGTGCTGCATGGTATTAGCGCCGCCTCGAATTCGTCTAAAGAGGCTCTTAACTTTGTCAGCTCGTCTGTCTTTTCGTTGCCTAAAATGTTCCCGGGAACCCAAATTGTGGAAAAGTGGAGATTAATTGCCACTAAGCTTAAAGCATCTGGTCGGTCGGTGATGATATTGACATCATCGGCCTCAAATGGGGTAAGACGAAATATCTCCTGTCATCAAAAAAACAGTCGTCGCACTCGCGACTTGGCACTCACGTCACTGTTGACAGTCATTGCTTTTAAGTTGTAGATAATTTCGTTTATCTTGGAGCCAGCGTAAACACCACCAACAATGTCAGCCTAGAAATCCAACGCACGATAACTCTTGCCAACAGGTGCTACTTCGGACTGACTAGGCAATTGAGAAGCAAAGTCCTCTCTCGACAAACTAAAACCTGCTATATGGTGCAGAGGCTTGGACGATGTCAGCAATAGATGAGTCGATGCTGCGAGTTTTCGAGAGAAAAGTTCTGCGAAAGATTTATGGTCCTTTACGCGTTGGCCACGGCGAATATCGCATTCGATGGAACGATGAGCTGTACGAGATATACGACGACATTGACATAGTTCAGCGAATTAAAAGACAGCGGCTACGCTGGCTACGTCATGTTGTCCGGATGGAGGAAAACACTCCAGCTCTGAAAGTATTCGACACTGTACCCGCCGGGGAAAGCAGAGGAAGAGGAAGACCTCCACTCCGTTGGAAGGACCTGTCTTTACTTGAAATATCTAATTGGCGCCACATAGCGAAAAGAAGGAACGACTGGCGCGCGGTTGTTAACTCGGCTATAATCGCGTAAGCGGTGACTACGCCAATCAAGAAGAAGAAGAAGCTTAAAGCATTGCTGTGTCAACAAGACTACGTTTGAATTAATCCGTGGTATCGAGAAAGCAAGCAATGCTGCGTGCTGTTTGTGTATATGGTTGAACACTGTATATTCCCGCAGTTATTCAATAGAACTTCACAGATCTTCTCTATGCCTCGTACTTCCGCTTGAAAGATTCTGGCTGAGTAGGATAGGCGGGGAGAAATAGAGATGTTAAGATTATTGGAGTATACAACCGCCCTATTCAGCAGTTCACTTTCGATCCATCGGTATAATATGGGTAGTATCCTTCTTTCCTACTAAACCTCTCCATCCGAAAGCAACTATTGAAATCTAACTTTGGGAAAATTAGTCTGATTATGTTTAGGATGGCGAAATGTTTATGAAGAGATGATGCAGAAGAATATTAAGTTCCTCAGTTGGACATGAGTTAATAACCTCGGAAACCCTCTTCACAAGTTAATGATGGTCTTATAACATGAAGTCTCAAAAAGGTAAAATTAGTTTATACCTTCCTTTCATATTTTCTTAGTGAGGTTGACAAAGTAGTTACTTGGGATATCAAGATCCCTAATGAAATTAAAAAAACCGTAAATAAGGGGATTCAGTTCATAATTTCTTCTCATAACAAATAACGTAAGCCTCTGAAAGTATTTCCCATGTACCCACCTAATGATCGAATGCGCCCACACTCAGCCTTACCGCATTTCATTTAAATGATTCCAAGCTCTTTTAACCAGCTCAGCCGCTCTCACCTTAAAAGTGACAATACCCGGCACTAGCTTAAGCCAAACAAATTTTCGCCTCAGCACACGCGCACGTAAGCATTTAAATCTACGCACTGCCAAAAACAAAACAAATTAAAAAGTGGTGAAAGTGAACTTACCAATATATATCTCCACGTCAGCATCATCATCACGGCCAACACCATCTGCGGCGCCTGCAGCAACGCCATCGCCGTAATGAACGAGGCTAGTATCAGCAACACGAACATCATTGAATTCATTAAGCGGACTATCGGCCAATGCCACATCGGTGCACGCCTCCAAGTCGGGCTCAGCGTGCGCCTCATCCAGGCCATTCAGGTACGTTTCTAGTAGGTAATTTTTACCCAATTCACGCTCGCGGACTCGATGCTTCTCCTCCTCAATTTTCGAAATTTGTCGCTCCTTTTCTCTGTGTGTGTGTGTGTACGTAGAAATTTTTTTTTTTTTTTGCGAACGCAAAATGCGCAGAAAGGTGTAGGGGATGAGAAAGAGTGAATAAGTAAACAAGGCATAAATACACAAAATATGCAACAGCATACAGAATTGTGTTTAACTGCAAATACATATAGAAAGTACCGTTACTTACAAGAGTGTGCAGGAAAAGTGTATATTTGTTTCGCTAAAATACTTATTAACCATGCTGGGGACATCGGGCAATATTATACCATAGTCTCACGGTTTCTTTCAGATTTCTAATTGGAAACAGATAGTAAAAATTTTCATCATTATTAATAAGGAGTCTTAAAACTCGACTCATAATCTCAAGCGCTACCATTAGGAATGCTAACCAGCAGGTTTTTCAAAAACAACTCTAAATTCTTTTTAATAAAACAAGAACGGTTTGGGTTATTAATGAAATTCTTTATTATTGTGAAAGTACATTCGTACGTCAGTCACCACTGCATTCCGAAAAAAAATTCGGTTGAGCTGGAGTCTTCAATGAGCCGTACTTCTTCCATGATGATCAAGGCCGGGTCGTTTTTGTGAATGGGAACCGCTCATGATAACCGAATATTTTTGGCCGGAACAATATATGGTTCCAACAGAAGGGCACCACAATCCACACAGCGAATGCCACAATCGATTTATTGAAAACCAAATTTTGTGAACGTGTTATCTTACGAAATCGCCCAGTCAATTGGCCGCCTCGGTCATACCAAACCGTTTTTGTCTTATTTAATTACTTTATTACTTTTGTTGCGTTCTTATTGAAAACCTGCTACATATCCTCAATGGATAACTACCCAAAAAAAAAAAGAGGGAAAATCTACCCCTTTATTGGTAATTCTTCAACATAGTTGTTGAACAGCGATGGCTAAATATTTTGCAATGTTCCCTTGCACACTTTCGTAAGTGACTGTACGAACCGGGTTACAAGAGCTTACCTTAAAAGGGCCAACTGTCGATGAATGGTTTCGTCCTGCGCTAGAATAATTTTCAGTAGCCGCTCATTTGCACTTACGCCCCCTTCACCTCCATCGACGCCTACTCCTAAGCCATCCAGCGCATCCGCGGTCACATCATCCTCCTCACCCATGCCACAGTCGATGACGGCGATGTGCTTGCCACCGCCTTTACTCACCTGTGCGTTGGTCAGCGCGTTGCCGAGTCCGCTGAAAGCGGCTACAGCTCGTTGTGAGACGCGCGGATGCAAAGTATTCGCCTGTGCCAACCAACTGACCGTAGCGGCTGATTTGTACTTGCGGCGACGTAACCGTGCGCTGCGCGAACTCCCCACCGGACTGCCCATGCCGCTGTCCTTGTCCGTGGAGAGCAACGAGGAGACCTGTGTGTTCAGATTGAGCGACGGTGAGCTGGCGCGGTGCAACGCATTAGGTAATGCCGAGAAAGTCCCATTATTGCTGTTGCCATTGCCGTTGCTGTTGACGGCAGTGAGGCGACGCAAGAGCAATTCGCACTGGTGGATTAAATGGATGGTCGAAACAGGTCGTGTTCGTCATTGATGAGGTCGCAGTTAGAGTGTGGTCATGTGCGATTGTTGCAGTTGTTGCAGTTGGGCGGAGTGTGCAGCGGTGTTGTTTGTGCGTGTTGGTGGACGTTGCCACCATGCGTGCATGCGTCCGTGCGTGCGTGCACACATTCAGTTCATTCGTTGTTGTTGTTGTTGTGGTTGCGTTGCATTATCGTTGTGTTGATGTTGTTGTTTTTCGTTGGAATTTTTTTCGTTGTCATGCAAGAAATAAAGAAAGTGGAACGGAAATATTGGCTTTGAGAAATTGCATGGTTTCTTGCGAAAGTGAAAAGTAAAAATTTTGCGTGACTCAACACTTAACACTAAAACGGAATTGCATGTCTTACAAATCGCAAATTGCGCTCGCCGACAACAGGCAGCAGCAACAACAGCTAGTACAATAACAATAACCATAAGTAGGTAGCAAACACATGCGAAGAATGAAGACGGGCGCTCGTCAAGTATTGTTGCTGCCGCAGGAAATTTTCAAACAAACTTTCCGCACAAAAGTTGAACATTTCGCAAAATGCCAACGAGAAAAGTGTGAAATGAAATGTGAAATATGAATAGTGAGTTGTGCGAATGATTTAAAAATTTTCGACATCCTGTCGGCAACGAAAAGGCTGCTCGCAACAAACAAGGAAATGCTAAGTACATACAAATATCCTTCGTGTTGCCTCCACCCTGCACGCCCTTGCCACAACAACAACTGGCAATTCGACATTTTCTGCTTTCACGAGTGGCAAGCAACCTCATCAGTTGTGGTACCTGCCGTAGGCCAATCGGTAGTTAGGCTATTAAGCCACCGTTGTTGTTGTTGTTGTTTTTGTTAACGTAGGTCATTGAGGGGGCATTGCGTGACTTGTTTGCTCGCCCGACAGCTACAACGCATTGCCGTTTTCGCAAGCCATTGTGTGTAGCTGCCGCAACTGTTGGGAAAGCCTCTCGCTCCGCGCCGGCAACTGTCCTTGCAGCAGTCGTTTCCTTTTGCGCGTAACTGTTACCAACAGCGCGTTGGAGTTGGAGTTGAACAACGGCAACAATTTGCCAATTCACACCGATTTATTGGTTAGTGTATCACAGCAACACTTCATTGTTATCAACGTCGTTAGTGTAGCGAAGGGAGCGCAGTTGAAGGTTGAATGTGTGTATTTGAAAAGAAAAAATAATTTGATGTTACAACGGAAATGTCGACACATTCTTTGAAGTCACATATATCGATGGCTTTGCCATTTGAACCATTTTTAAAACAATGGCTGATGTTTTATTGGAATCTCTATATTCTTTAGAAAAATAAATTCCACAACTCAGACAAAAAAGTTAATAGACGCGCTTGTTCGAGCGAATTATCTTCTAGTTGAATTGTGAAGAAAGTACCCGGAAATTGTTAACAAAATGCAAAATATATAAATACTCTTTTAACGATTATTCCGGTCTCAGCTCTTTCGTCGAATTTTTTTTATCCCTTCGAAAGACTGAAACCGGCTTTCATTCAGATGATTATTGACTTGTTTCATGCCAAACTAATACAGGGTGTGTCCGGAAGGTAATAGGACTGAGTCGGTTTAAAAAAATTTATTGAACCAATTGTTGCAATTCTTTTAAAACTTTCAAAATATACTCCCACTGCGTCGGTACAGCGCTGCCAATGCGATTTCCAAGGTGGGCAACGTCTGGGCTTTGGGGCGGCTGCGGAAGCATTGGAATGCCGGCCTTGTTTAGACAGCTGTTCACAAGAAAGACGATGTGAGCCGGGACGTTGTCGTGGTGCAACTTCCAATCGTGATTGTGATGTCTTATCGGATCCGATTTACCCTCTTGAGGAATTCCACATAAAACTTGTTGTTGACCGTTTGGCAAGGAGGAACAAATTTATGGTGGCCGATGCCTTTGATGTCAAAAAAGACAATGAGCATTCTTTTTACTTCGGACCCTTGCATTCAAAAAGGCCTGATCCACTAAAACACACCAATTCTTGCTAAAGCAACTTCCGGGTAAGCTTGCTTGATCATATCAAACGTCTTAACCGGACGAGTCGAGCAAGAACGCATTTCATATCTAAAATATTCACCAAAGTCATTCGAAGGACCCTGGAGAGATGTCGACCTCTCTTGCCATCTCTCTAACACTCGCATCATGATTTTTAAGCACCACCTTTTTTACTTTTTTAATATTTGCATTAGTTTACGAGGTCGAATGTCGACCAGAACGAGGCATGTCTTCAACGACCTCTCGACCGTGTTTGAATGCTTTGTACCACTCATTGGCATACGATTTTGAGAAAACTGAATCACCGTAAACCTTTTTCAATACAATTCCGCAAACGAAATTTGAATGGAAATACAAAATTTCTTTTTTTCAGGTTGAAAATCGTATCACAAAATGCTTTAGTTATTAACTTCGTATGTTTAGCCATTTTATTCCACCGTAATTAGGTGATTAATGTTACCGTAAAGGATTACAGATCCAAGAACCATTTGCTTGAAACATTCATTACCTTCACACCATCTTCAAAGAATCTACGAGATAAAAATACCTTCGGAACACAAACGGAGCAATACATTCATTTTACTATATAAGCCTCTTTAAGACTGCTGGCAGGCCTAACTTGACTTATTCTCTAATTCAAGTTTGAGAGCTGGTTTAACAGTTGTCACGCTAAAACGCTAAAATAACTCTTTCCCACTAGAGTGGATCTAAGCAACCGGAAGGCCAAAGATTTTTATAGAGAAGGCCCAGGGTGTCGCTTCTATAACATTTTCTAAAATTTATTGAGTCTATTACAACAACAAGAAAGAACCCAAAGACAATTTTAAAGGACGACAATCCTCAAACGTTATCAAAGCAAAGAGCAGCGCAGATCTTACAGATTTTTGAGGAATTGCCAACTATCAGCAATACATACCGTAGAAAGCATATAACTAGCGGCTTTCAAACAACTTTTTCAAAACATTCCAAACTCATTGCCACGATTATCCAACAATGCAACAAACATTTGCACGCAACATCTTGCTACATGACAGCACTTACCTCCTTCTTTGAGGGGCCATCCTGCACTGGCATCACATCGAATACCTTCGCATTGCCATCCAAGTACTCCTCACAGTGGCGATGCTGCTTGACAATGACGTACTCAGTGGCGTTCGTTAGCCGGTTGCCACACAGAGGTGCGCCACCACTACTCGCCGGCACAGTTAGCGCCATCGACACAGCAGCTGCGATGGGAAGGCAACTGCCAATAGTCAATTCACCGCTCGCAGCGAACGATGGATCGCAATTTTCTTTGGTATGCGTTGATGTTTTTATTAACGTTGATTGATTGATGGCTGGATTTGCCGCGCTCTTGCTGGTACTATTTTTATTATTATTGCTCTTGCCGCTGTTGACACTAAACATATGCTGTTGTGGCTGCTGTTGCTGCTGGTAGTGTTTTTCCTGCAATTGCTGTGCGTTTTGATAATTGAGCAACGCGCCAATCAAATCCGCACACGTCGTACTCGCATCCACACCCGCCACCCAGTGCTTCTCGCCGTCCACCCAAACAGCCACATTGTCCGACAACGTCTCCATCGAACCGAACGAGTCGCTCTCATCATCATCGTCAACCTCCACGTCCACGTCCACAGCGTCCAGCATAATGCCGCCCGTCGTCACACCTGTGCGCGTGTCAACGGGAAAATTAACATCGCCAACAGCGGCGGCAGCTGCAGCAGCCGTGGCGGCGACACTATCTCTGCGTGTGTACGCATTGCCGTTGCTATCGACAATGTCCCCATCGTCATCAACAACACCGATATCGACACATGCGGCGACTCGAGTCGGCGCGGACACTTCATTACGTTGTTGGTGCGCCCTTTCATGCATTATTCCACCATCGCCCGCATGCTGGGTCTCTGTGTGCGCGTGTGTGTAGCCAGCAAAACCAATATTTATCGCTCGGCCCATCATTGTTTGCACTGCTGTTGTTGTTGCCGATATTGTATTCACCCGCGCTGATGGCTGCGGGTAAAATGGCTGCCGCCTTATTGGGTGGAGGCTGGTGGTGCTGGTACCGGTGATGTTGGCGTTGGTCCGCGTCAATTGATTTGTATCTTTGGCCGCCATGGTCGCTGTCATCGTTGCTGTCGCCAACGTCGCTAGGCGCTTGCTCCTGCTGCTGCTACACTAACTGTCTCAGTGCCTGTCGCCTGTCAATTTTTGCTGAAAATATAACAGAAGAGGTGAAGAATAGGCAATGAATTACAAAAGCGATACAACAATGAATATAAAGTCATATAAAATAGAAATACAGGGTTACTCAAGCGGTATACCGAGTGAAAAAAAATTAATAAAAAATAATATTTTTTACAAGGATCAACAAACAAAGACCGTTTTTACTACAACTAGGATGTCTAACGTCAAAATCAATAAGATCTTTCTAGATTGCAGTTCAAGTATAGATGAGATTGGTGGCCATCCCGATTTTCACAAAAAAATTTTGTTCAGCGATGAAGCTCACTTTTGGTTGAATGTGTACGTTAATAACCAATTAGAGTAATGATTGTCCACAAGTCTTTGTTGAGACACCCTTAGTATGTTACATGAGCAGATGGAATTTTTGTTCCCGATTTCTTCAAAACTATAGCAGACCACCACTGAAGAACGTCGCTTCATGCCATGCAGCCAACGAAACAATCTAAATATTTGTTAAAGGAAACTTTTGGTAAGCGCAATATCTCGCGTCGTGAGGCTATGGCGTCGCCTCCAGTATTGCGCCAATTAACAGAGCTGGACTTAGGTGAAGGCGCTATTCTATGCAGATAAGCCCGAGACGCTTAACGTATTGGAAGAGAATTTTCCGCACGAGCCAGCCGCGGTGATCACTTGCACTAAGTAAACTAACTAACTACTTTTACCGAAAAGAAAATACTCGGAATGACTCATCTAAGAAATTAAGCCAAAGATTTTCTAAATCATTCAATTTTGCAATATGTCATTTTTGAAAGTCTACCAACCTATTATATACTCTCAAACCCTGTATATACTTTCAAACACAACGAGGGCTTCATAAATCTTCCAGTGAATATACATAACAAAAAAGAAAAAAACTAAAAAAAATCACAGGCGTTCGCATAAATTGATTTATTTGGCGTATTAACTAGAAATGTGAGCATGAACGGCCAAATGATGTGATGTCTGATTTGATTAGTGTATTGAGAGCTGGGACACCCGCTTACACGTTGCGCCTTCACGGACATACGCACACTCCGATACAACCAATTACTGGCAGACTCGCGACGGAATTCGCTAACCAAATAACCAACCATAGAGATAATCCGATTAATGGCTACTGCAACTGTCATTGTTGTTGTAATCGCAGCTTTTAACAGGAAAACACCAATACATGCACACACTCACATAGATGCAAATGTATTAAATTATATCGCCTACAAATAGATTACATACAAATCTTTATTGTCACATTGTGTGAGGGTATGTTGTTGCTGTTGGTGGGGGTGTAAAATTGATTGGCTCTGTCGTTAGTAGTATCATTCTTGGTAAAATTCAAATTGGCTGGTGATTTCTTGTGTTGATGATGTGCTGAAATATCGGAGCATAATAAAGCTAGAGCCTGTTCATCTCCATTGAGCGTGTGCAGAGTATAAGACTTAAATGCTTTATATGGAGACAGTTTCTGGGAAAGCGTTCTGTTAATAGTAAAATTCATTTGAATTGAGCGATATGCATATTGAAACACACTTTCGGCAGAAACTGATTTCCTTCTACGAACTGAAGTAAAAACCAATAAAATCAATTTAAAAGTGAGAAGTGAAGCCAATTTTATCTTCAAAAAGTTTTCCTTAAGATGTTTTTCACATTTATCAGCGCCAAGGCCCGCTTTGGGTTTCTTCGATATATTTTTGAGCTTTGTGAAATTATAATAAATCTAAAATTGGTGCGATGTTACCATTTCCTGCAAATATTTTCTCCAACTAAGACAGGAGTCCAAAAATGTAGCTAAAAAGTTCACAAGTTTATTTGCAGCTTATGCCTCTTTAATCTTAATCCATTAATCAGAGCTGAATAATTTTAATTACTCATACTTGATCTGTCCTACTATTGACGGATAAAATCAGAATGTACTTAACCACAGAAGTTTTTCTTAAACGTTTGTCAAGTCTCCAACCCTATGCCATTCGATGTACATAATGTATACCCCTGTTAATAACATAAAACTTTGCTACATAATTTCAAGATTACGATCCCTTAATATGTTAGTATATTTCTTGTATATTTCCGGCCGAAGTTTAGGTTTTTAGCTATTGTAAAGCCAGACAAATATTCCTTAAAGAATTTTGAAGAATTCGGTCCCATAAAATTGTGAATAAATGTCGTGAGAATGGCAGCACTTGTTGGCTGTTCAGAATTAATTAATTAACTAGTTTGTTGTTTAAATATCTCATGACATATTGCTTCACAATATCAGCTTTCTAATTAATTGTGTTTTAAAATGTATTATTAACTAAGAAGTAAGAAAGAGCTAAGTTCGGGTAATCGAATATTTCATACTCTTTAAGGATTAAAGCCAGGGAAATAACCACACGTTTTATTATTATTATCAGGTTTATTAGTTATACAAGCAGCGTTCCAAAGTAAAGAGGACTTAAAAAACTGAACAAATGGTTTTTTCGGCAAAATCAATTTATTTTTCAATTTCATCATCAATCATTTCATCAATTTATTGTTTTAGCTCATTGTATGACCGCCAGTATTCCGGTGCAAGCCTTTGGAAGGGCCTCTACATGTGCATAACGCTTTCCTTTCATTTTCCGAAAATGAAGAAGTCGCACAGTGCCATATCAGGTGAATACGGGGAGTGATTAATGGCCAAAATGTAATTTTTGGCAAAATAATCTTTTTAATGATGTTCATCGAATGTTGGATTCTGAGCAATTTTTGATCGTCAGTCAATTTGTGCGGAACAAACTGTGCACACACCTTTCGAAAGCCCAAATGCTCGCTCTAAATGCAATAAATCGATGTTTGGAGATGTTCAATTCCATTTCCATGAATTTCAATGATTATTTCGGGTGATTTTTGATGAATTCCTCACAGTTTCGATGGAATTACCGATGATCACGGATTTTGATTAGCCAACATGTTGATCGTAATCTATGTCCTCACGACTGCTTTGAAAACATTGAAACCACTTATACACTAGTCTACGGGATAGACAATCATCGTCATAAACTTGCTTCATCAATTGAAACGTTCTGGTAAAAGTTTTACGAATTTTAAAACAAAATTGAATGTTGGCTCTTTGTTCGAAACTCACTTTCGCACCGATAACACAAACATACTGACACTTAAAACGCAATAACTTATGAAATTCTCACTGGACAATCGATCAAAATAGCAGATTCTACTGCAACCGACAGTCGACATATAGATGGTGTCACCAGGGGGCACTAGATTCAAAAAGTCCTGTTTACTTCGGAACGCACCTTGTATGTGGGCTAAGGAAGGTATTGACCAGACCCATTCCATTTGTAGCACACACACATACTACTTTCAGAAATGGATTATTTCTGAGTTTCATTTTTACATACATATATCTCACACAATGACTGATATTTTCAATAAAAAGTGATTATAAGCACTGGGTCCACATATTTAATAACTTGGTGCTTGAACAGTTTTGGTTTGATTTAGACAATTTTTGGTCATACGACGGCACACCTCAAATGCACTGTGGTTTTAGTCCACTTTGTCGATTTTCACCCTGTAAAATAAATACGCACCGAATGTGGTTAAAATCGGTTTCGACGTGTCTCGAGATATGTGATTCCACATAAAAGTGACCAACTTCCAATTTCGAGACCGGCTCCATTAAAGCTCTCTCATACCATCGGAGGTGAAATTTAATGCATCTGCCCTATTTAGCTATTGATTTATCGCGCTTTAAGTAATTTTTAACAGGACCTTTATATGGGGAATGAGCTGGGTTATCTTCCGATTTCATCCAGCAAATATATTACAGAGCGATGGTACGCCCACTTTTTTAATATTGGTAGGATTACACCCATCTACGAACTTTTGCTCTTCTTCTTTGCCAAGGAACGCGGGTACCAAGTTATATCTAAATTTTTACTCAACTTACAGTTTGCACGAACGGATGAACGGACAGACAGACTGTCACCCGGATGTCAAATCCTATGGTCATCCTGATCATATATATATATACATAACCCTGCATCTATCTAGTCTGGTTTTAGGCGATACATATAACATTAACTGTTGTTGCGAGAGTATAAAAGTCTGGTTAAATACTTTAGTCAAACCAAAACGGGCCAATTCTTTGAATTTTTTCTTCACGTAGTCGACGAAAATAGGTAAGTGTAAAATTGTTCAGGCTATATAATATAGATATAATCACAGCTTATTTTCATGAAACTACATATTTTTTAGTCTTTTTTTTTTTTTAAGGAAAGATCGTCTTCTGAAACAACACAGAATTAACTCTTCGAAGGAATTGGTGATATACCCATAAGCAACAAATATAATAAACAACGGCATACAAAAATATGTATGTACAAATACTTCCAAATAATTATATTCGCACATTCTTTTAAATAATTGCGCAACAAAATTTATCGCCTCCTATTAATTACCTAAATTAGCTTAATTCTGCGACGACGTGTTTTGAAAAGATTCAGATTCGTCAATAATTTTTACATACAAACTCCGTAGCAATTAACTCTACTTTCGCTTTGAGCGCATTAACTAATCTGTTGTAATTGGAAGGAATATGAGTTATATATATGTATGTGAGCATTATGGTGGATAAAAATCGATTTTTTTTTCGCTTGGTACTCTGGAAAATATGTTATTAGACACATCTACGAAAGTTTTTCTAAATATGACCACTTCATTGTAACGGGAAGGTCCTTCGTCTCAGATTTTTTGAGTTTTTTCTTATTACCAGATAGGAAGCTACAAATCTCTGCTTCAATTCATAGAAAAAATATGTCGTTTAATAGATTTTGTAGTAAATTGAATGGTCTACAAAAAAGTCTGTAGCGATTTTTTCGTGAACTTAATCATCTAAAAGATAGTGAAGGATAAAGTTTGATTATTTTAAGGCACATCTTTAAGGCATTCTTATGATTTTTATCAATCAATGAAAAAAATCCTTATGAATTGGAAAACTCATAGTTTTG